TAAACTGTGAAGTGTCCATTTGATATAGTCATTGCATATAGATCAATCCTCCATAAATAATTCATAATTAGAGCAAGGTAAAATCTGTTAACCTTTCTAATTACTTCTTTATTCTTGAGTACCATTGATTCTCTAATGGACAGTGATTCATAAAACACATTCATGAATCGGAGCTCCTACTAGTCCAAGTACCGAATCAACCCTTAAGAGAATTATTTTTCTACTTCTTTCTCAAGAAGGAATGGATTCCATCTCGTATAATAACATTCCCGGCTACCTACTTCATCATATCTCCAAAATACAAGGAATAGGATTCAGGATCTCAGAATCCGTACCGAGTAAATCAAAAGACACAAATCCATAAATAGGAGTCTGTTAAGAACTCAGGATTAAGATCATCCTATATATGACCATCGGTAGACTCAATTAGAATTTCTATACTTAACAAAATTATTATCCTTGTTCCACATAATCTCATTATACGAAATACACTCATTCAATATCTCACCATATTAACAGTGCGGATAACACCGTTCCATTCTAAATGGGAATGACATGTATTAATAATGTTTTAATTAAAGATTCCGAACTTTAATTAAATTCATTATGAACATTGCTTTTTGATTATTATCCTTAAACATTATCCTCTCGTATATAACACTTATATACAGTGTTTAAGGTTACATAAATAATCATGAAATTTTCATTGATATTCATAAAATATTCATAAATATATGCACATAAAAGAATGAATAAATTCTTTTATTAAATAAATAATAAATATCCTATTACATCGCATGCTTTTAGGACACTATTTCCAACAGTTTAGAATGGATAAGAATGTGTTTTTGAAGCTATGTAATTATCTACAGAGTAACTACGAGTTACAGTGATCAAGGAATATGTGTGCGGCTGAAATACTTGGAATGTTTTTATTCATTTTGGGTCAGGGTGCGGGAAATCATTTAGCACAAGAGCGATTTCAACACTCTGGTGAGACTGTGAGTAGATATTTTAATTATGTTTTAGAAATTGTATGTCTTATGAGCATTGATATTATACAGCCTCCAGATCTAGAGTTTAATGATGTGCCAATAGAAATAATGACGGATCCCACATTTTAAGGTAAAATCATACTTTTTATATGCTTCATTCCCTACTAAAATTATGTTTATTTATACACTAAAAATTCTTGTTTTTTGAATTGTATTCGTGCAATAGATGGCGTACATGTTCCAGCTACAATACCACCGGAAGATCAGGTGTCATTTATTGGAAGAAAACATGTGCCAACCCAAAATGTGATGGCTGCTGGTGATTTTAGTATGAAATTTATATATGCATATGCAAGTTAGGAAGGTAGTGCCTATGATATAAGAATATTCTTATCAGCACTACGTAACCGACATTTAAAATTTTCAAAACCACCTGAAGGTTAAAACATTGTCTATATTTTATATTATATACATTTTACATTTTATTAATTCTTGTGTTTTTATTTTAATAGGTAAATATTATTTGGTTGACGCGGGCTATCCACAATTGAAATGACTTCTTGGACCTTATAAAAGAGAACGATACCATTTACCACAATTTTGAATGGGTCGTCGACCAACAAACAGTAAAGAGGTATTCAACCAAGCACATTCTTTTCTTCGAAGTGTCATTGAACGCACTTTTGGTGTCTAGAAGAAAAAATAGAAAATTTTGAGAGACATGCCTGATTATTCATTTACGAAGCAAGTAAAAATAGTTATTGCAACAATGACGCTTCATAACTATATTAGGATGCATGATAGGCGTAATCGACATTTTCAAGAAGTCGAGGATAATCTAGATGTTTTCGTTTATGAAGAGCATCAACCGGAGGACAATGTAGAAGAAGATGAAGCTTCACTATCACAAGAAATGGATGAAGTACGAGATCAAATTGCGACAACTTTAATGAAAACGACTTAATTCTTTTAGTGCCTCTGTCAGTTTTTTGAACATAGAATGTACATTTTTGTTCAACAAATTGATTACTCACCAATTCTCCTTTTAGTTGTAACTATATTGTGAATGAAGAAATGAAAAAAAAAGAATTAATTATCATAAATTTATTATTAAAAAACTCAATCATAGCATTATGTTTTTTTTAAGTTAAACAAGTATTTCTAAATACCAAAAATAATTATATATACTTAAGTTTCATACCATGTCTATTTTGATCATTTTACATGCCCATAGCAATTCAACATTAAAATTTACCAAACGCTATTACATTGATTTTGGAACCAGCACAGTTACTATAATATAATTTACTAAACACTCAACGGCTTCTTGTAACAACTGCTTATTCCGTCAACACAATTAAAAATAATTTTTTTAAAATCCACAGCACTACCAAGCTAAGCCTTATTGCACATATTATACACATATATAACTCTTGTAATTTGTACATAAAACACAAAAACTTGGACTTACAACAACTAGGAAATCCATCAGACTACATCACTAGCGACCTTCGGCAGTGAAATCAGGCTCAGCAGGTTTCTGAGGCAGCAGGGGTGGCAACCTCTGTGGCGGTCTAGAGCTGCGCGCGCCCTTTTGCCGCAAAGCTCGTAGCGCATTGGAAGCAAACCTTGAAGCATAAATAGTGGCGCCAAGGGTTGGTGTGTTTCCGGCTTCATTCGCCAAAGCATCTTGCAGCCTGTCTTCGGCATCGCATAAAGTCTTGTCAAGCTTTCTCTTGCAATGCCGCCGCCATGCCGTTTGAATAAAACAGGCTGCCCATGTTTTCCATTGTAGAGAGTAGAACCTGAAAGTAAACACCAGTCAGGTTTTAGTACATTATTTTCGTGCAATCATGTACTGTCATATTATTTGTCAAATGTCAATGGACTAAAATTACTTAATAAATAAACAATGGCATGTTTACCAAAAAAATTTGGATACTCTTTTATAATAGATAGTGGTGTAATGGGAAACAAATCAATTCCCTTTCTAATATTTACTAAACTTAGGAACAAAAATCTTACTAAAATATTGTATTACATATAACATGTGAACTTAAGGATATATAAGTAAACTTGGTATTCATTCTCTCTAATTTTTCATTTACTTATTTTCCATATTGTATTGGAAACCACTAAATTCTCATTATTGATTTTGTAAATAAGCACATAATTAGGTGGAAAAGGTAATCACTCCTACTTTTTTCTTTTCAATTCATGTGAAGTAAATGCGTTTAAAAGGAAATTGTGCTTAACATTATCAAATAGAAATGCTCAAAGGAAATACATGGTTTTAAAAGGCTTACCTGAAAGTGTGCTGGAGTTGTTTGTTATGAAGCCGCCGAAACTGCGAGGCAACAGACTTCAGATCATCGGCCTTGAGAGCGAAGGCTTCGACCTCTGTCTTAGCTTCCACAGTCCATGTTGAAGTGGGGAGATTGGTGGCAGAGTTGGGGTCCAAGGCCCATGTGAGAAGCTCTTCTCCACAGAAGTTACCAGCCTTAAGATCAACCGAGTTGAAGAAGCCAGTTCTTCCGCCATTAGTGGTCATAGTTGCCAGAGTTCCTCTCATGATAAAGAGCATTTCATCCACTGGGTCACCCTCCCTAACAATGGAGCTCTTCTCTGTGTAGAGGGCTGGCTTGAGATGATTACACATCGCGTCCAAAAGTTGTTCATCCATTTTCTCGAACATTGGCACCTTTTTTGAAGATCAAACTCATATGATGAGTGGAGTTACTAAAAATAAATAGAAAAAATAATGTAGAAACTAAGGCGAAAACACTTACTCTCTTGAGGAGTTTAAGGCAAAGATGGCGTTTTATGTCCCTCCTAAGGTCCTTAGGAAGATTTTGCACCAAATTGTCTTCTTCAACACCTCTAGTTTCTTGCCATTTGTATTGTTCATATCTTCTAATCCTCTCCCTCAAGTTCTCCGGAAGCATACGGTGGGACATCCACTGCTCAGCGTCTCGCCTTTTCACTCTCATTTCTTCAACTCTCACAGTTGTGGACTGCAAATATTTCTGTAGATACAAGAAGGAACAATGTAATAAAGCGTTTTAGCTCACTAAAATTTATGTACTTTTTATGATACAACCACATTAGGGCATTTGTTTACCTGCATATTGCCAATGAGTAGTGAAAACAGAACCAAGCCAAAGATTGATATGCCGACTGCAAAGACTACCTCTGCTACAAAAGTGCTGGTCTTGAGGTTTTGGCCTAGAGAACTGAAAATTAAAGAGAAATGAAATATAAGTTTAAGATGACACTTAAAAAGAAGTAAAAATAGAGTGAAAGAATCATATGTTACAACAACTAACCTAAGATTTCTTAGTCCCCACCAAAAGCAGTAGAAAAACTTTGATCGAAAATCCTCAGATGCAACCACACCAGACTTGAGAGCATCAATAAATATTCCAAAGTTAAACGCTTTCGAATCTGAAATGTCGTCAGGATCAATGTATGGACAAGAATCATTCAGCGATTTCGGAACATCTATAACTACATTGGATTGTAACTGTAAGTGGCCTTTCCTACAGTAGTACTCATAGGAACCCCAGGATTCGTTAAAGTGTCTACGCCAACACGTGTCCACTCTCTCAAGAGAGAACAAGTACCAAAAGGCTCCAACCATCTGGTAACATATCATCGAACTTTGTTAGAAGCTGCACATTTCTTGGAAGAATGTTGTATATAAAAAAGGGTATTGTTGAGAATTAAACAACACTAATTCTATACTACTATGAGCAGAAGACGTGAAAGAAAATAAAACACGTAAAATTTATAGTGGTTTACACTCAAAATGAGAGCTTCATCCATGTTATTGTTAGTGACTCCCGGATTTACAAATTTGAAACCCCTAAGATACCCTTAATAAAATTTTGCTCAGGCTTTCCGCACCCCTTCCAACCCCCACATTGACCTTACCGCAAAGGTCAACTCGCGTACTGTCTTTAACACTAGGGCAATAATTAGGCTCCATAACTTAACAAACGGAACTTACATGACTTGCTAGCATGTAGAGGAAAAGATTGAAAGCAGCGCCAGCCCATGCAGTCTCCGTCAGTATGCCAGAAGTTCTAGTTACTTCTTTGAATAGTGGACGGATTCGCACAAATCTTGGCACATACTGACTAATTACTACTATTCTCAACCAGTCCTTTGTGACTTTAGCAACAGCACCTCTTGGAGAATGGTTCGTAGCCAAAAGAACCGTCACCTGAACCAAAAAAGAAAAACAAAAAAAAAAAGGAAAAAAACACAAACACACGAAGAGAAAGCTAAGTAAAATTACAGGAAAAGTTTTAAGGCGAGTAGTCTAAACTTTTGCATGCCGTGTTATCCCATCGAAAAATTAATGAATGTTCAGTTTTGAAAAGGGGGAGAAGAAAACAAGAGTCGGTATTAATTCCCATTTTCACATTGACTAAGAAAGAAGGAAACAAACATTAGACACATTGTATATACCTGTGGGAAAGGAAGAATTGACAGAACATCAACAATGAAGTAGGATGACAGGTATCTTCTGGCAATGGCAGCAGGATCATCGATTAGCTCGCCCCTCCCGAACACTCGAGAAGAAGGGGCAATGAACCCGGTTCGGAACTGAAAGATGATCCTAAGTATGTAAAAGATATCGACAAACGTGCGAAGAACGCAAGCAATGATCTCCAAAGAAGTGTCCAAACTGAGACATTTCTTCTTGTCATCAAGTACAGGAATGTAGAAAAACAAAGGGTCCACGGACACGGCAATTATACAAGACAGAATAAATATCTTGTTCCATAGCTGAAGCAAAGAACCTTGTGGGTCAAGAATATTGTTCCTAGAATCTGGCTCCTTATTTTTTGGCTTCTTTGCAACAGAATGGGAAGTTGGTTTTTTTCTAAGGCTTATAATTCTCCCATAACCCCTTTGGAATACTCCATGAATCTGTCCAAAAATTGATCTTAGAGATGGTCTAGCTTTTCTTGTGTAGTTTCCGCGGCCATCGGTGGAGAATTCTTGCTCAGAAATTTGAGATCTCTCTGATTTCCAATCCTCAAATCTGGAAAGGTTAATTAAAAAACTACTATGATTTTGCTATCATAAAGTAGAATTCTACAAGATAATCGGTACAATCTTCAGACACAAATAATTGTTAATAAATCAGTGTTGAATAATAAAACTAACCTTACAAACTTGGGCAACTTGTAATTCATAACTTCGTGCAAGATTCAGGCCCTGCAAAAAATCCAAAATTTCTAGTTTGAAATTACTATTTAAGGAAAAAAAAAAAATAAGAGCATGACAATATGCACTCGTTATGTGACTTCTAATTGTCAACGTATGAAATGGTCAGTTTCTTGTAGCCGGAGATATTCCTCATTGTTGAACATATTTTTACTTTTCTCCAACCATTTTCAGCCACACCAAAACTAATTAGTTCACATTATAAATTCTTAAGCATGCCATGAATAACTAAGAACTAATTAGAGTATTATATAGACTAAAATAGAGAAAATAATCCAATTATAAAAAGAGAAAGTTGCAACGATTCAAAAGGATAATGCAAAAAATTAAAAAATACAACATGACTCGCTGTGTTTGGTTCCCAAGAAAAGTGAGTCCATGAAAAGAAAACTTGCGAAGTTTAGTGCTAGTGTTGGTTTGTTTAGAGAAAATACTCAAACCAAACCTCAAAAGAAGGCTAATCGGTTGCATTAAACTCGACCAAACAATTTTTTTTTTCCGTCTTTCTCTTGCTGTCACTACACGCTCTGCAAAGAACAAGAAAAAACAGAGGACTTTGATTTTAGAGGAAAATAAGTGAGAAAAAAGTTGGGTTTTTTATTATCACATGTTAAAGAGGAAGTTCGGAGGATGATGAAGGAGAAACTTCCCAGTGAGAGGCTTGAAAAGAAGGTTCGTGGAGAGAGAGAGAGATAGAGAGAGAATCTTAAATGGCAGTTAATGTGAGCAGTTTTACAAAGAGAGAGGAGAGGGAAAAAGGAACAGAACGTTCAAGGAGACTTGGTCTCTCACACAAGTCGTGAAAACGAGAGTCAACTCAGCGCTTCCAAAGCCAAAAAGAATTTTATAGCCTACGATAAATTTTTGTCTTTTTAATTATACTAGTTGAAACACGCGGCTGCGTATACTGTAGGTTCATTTATTTTACTGATTAAATTTAAATTTTAAATTTTATTAGAGTAAAAAAATTTTATAAATAATTATATATAATTTTTTTATTATAATAAAATTTTTTATATAAAATCACATCTCAACTTAAATCAGTAAATTAAATAGGTCCTAAATATATTATGTTTTTTTAAACACATACATTTAAAAAAAATATTAACAATAAAGAAAAATATTTAAATAAGCACATATTTAAAATTATTTAAATAAAAACATATTAAGGGTAAAATTTAATAAAGCACAATTAAAAAATTAAATTTAAAATGAACAAAAAAATAAAAGGATCAAAATACATGTTAAGTAAAAGTGTTTCAATAAATCATGATTATAAATATAAGATTTTTTATAAAAAGAGAAATAAAATATCGTGTATATTTTATTCTATTTTTTATCTGTTCTTATTTAAAAAATCATTTACATTAAGATGACGTTTGTTTTATGTATTCAGAATCATGATTCAGAACCATTCTCGTTTTAAGTGTATTTTTTATAAAAAAAAATACTATAAAGAATCATGAATTATAATTCAGAATTAGAGATGAATATAAGAAACAAACGTCCTTAAAGTGAATGAAATAAAAAATTTTACTGTTAAAGGCAATAGGTAGGCAACAGTGGGAAAAAAAATTAAAAAAAAAAGTAATATGTAGGCAAAAAAAAAAAAAAAAAAAAAAAAAGAGAGAGATATAACACAGCCTAATTAAAAGCCAACTCTGACTCTTTTAAATATGTGGCCTCACCACTTGACGTGGCTTACAAGTGGCTGCTGGCTTTTGGTTCTAACGTGGCAGGTGGTTTTTGGGTTCTTATATGGGAGTCTGGGACGCACCATTTTGTAAGATAACTGCTCGTTCTGCGAGAACTCATACCCAGCCATAACTTCCAGAAACTTTTTTTTTTTAGAGAGACAAAATCCCAGAAGTTTGAATCTCTATACAACCTTCTCATAACTTGTGTTTGCTAAAATACCATCAAAGAGTAGCGTTTTTTTTTTTTTTTTTGGAGTCTCTCTCTTTCATTCTTAGGAATTTTGGGGTCTCTTCCATGTGATCTTCACGTATCTATTCTGGGTATGAATGTGGGTGTTTTGTCTACAGAATGTTGAATTTGAGGGTTGGAAAAAAAGCAAAAAACAACACTACATTCTAAAAAAAAAAATTTGAATAACAGCTAAAATAAATAGAACCAAAATGCACTTTTGCCGGCGTGGAGGATGGCTTCCTTCGCGGATCCGGTAGGCTCAGAATTGGTTCACCGGGGCTTTCCGTCGCAGATCTGAGGAGGCGTATGGGCTTGCCGAGGCTGGGTGATGCCATTTTCGGTTTTCGCGGGCAAGAGGGCGGCGCTTGGTTTTGCTGCATGGGATTTGACGCTGGAGTTTCTGAAGTTTGGTTGCTATTGTGATAGTAGCGGCAACTTTGACGTCGAGTGGGAACAGGATATGAAGAATATGGTTGAGTTTAAAAGAAAAAAAAAAAAAAAAAAGCTCATTTGAATTATTTCTGAAAAAAGAAAAAAAAAAAAATAGAATACCCTTTTAGGAGAAATTCTGTTCTTGTGTTGTGCTTAGCAGAAAGAATTGGTGATGATGGCTGCAGAACAGATGAAAGAGAGTTTTTAATTTTTTTAATTATTTGTAGGTCCCATGGTGAATAGAAAATTCATATTATTAAAATGTCAAAGTCCCAGTAAGCATCCACATAGGCGCCACGTTATGTGGTGCCCCTTGGCTTTATTCTTCTTTTAAATATGTACATATATTTTACTCTTTTTTCTTATTTGAGTAAAGGAATTTTGATTTTATTTTTTTGACGTTGGATAATTTGTTGAAGTGGATTAGCTTTTATAGATATTTTACTCTTTTTTCTTATTTGGGTAAAGGAATTTTGCTTTTATTTGATTTTTTGACGTTGGATAATTTGTTGAAGTGGATTAGCTTTTATGAGCAGTACAACAACTTTTGTGACTGTAAAGCTTCTTTTATTTCCTAGTGATGGTAACCGAAGAAAGAAAGAGGCTTTTCCCATTGAAAAAAAAAAATATCATTTTTTTGTTGATTGAAATGGAACAAAAGAAGAAATGGCTCATATATATCTTAGCATAGATTTTCTTTTGTCTTTTAATATATTTATTTATTTATACGTTTATATTTTCAAATAAATTATATAAACCCATGCGCATATTGATGACAGTTAGATGAAGGAAAAAAGGAGAAAAGAAAGAAAGAAAGAAAAGCATAGTCTTGAAAATGTTTTTCTATTAAAGAAAAGGTAGTTTTTTTATATGATTAGAAAAAATGAGCTATTAGTAATTCTCTATTTTTTAGCTGTTAAATTTATATAAAAATTATATATTCTACATATTTTTTTAATTTGACGTGATTTTAACAATATTTAAAAGTTAATAACTATTATTTGTTAATAATAGCTTTAATCTCCAAGGAGTAGCAATATTGGTTTATCATTTTTTTTTTTTGTCTGGAAACTCTTCGGACTTCTTATTATAAATGGTAAATTGATTCAATCAAACTAATTGATTGTTGTTTGGGTCAGAATCAATTTACTATAAACATGAAACAAGCTTCTGTGAAAGAGAAGTGAAGCATGAGAAACTCTGATACCAAGAATTCAATGTGATTTAAAAGGAAAAGATGAAAAGGGTAAAACTGGAAAAGCAGAATAATAGATAAAAGAAAAGGCCTTCTACATAAATTAAAAAAAACAAAACTTGGGACAGATATTTTAAGTTGGGTGGTACAACGGCCACGTGGCCCAATTTCCCTTGTTCTTAGAATTGACTTCTGACTAATACGAGCAACAGGATTAGCTCTTGATTACCTTCGACCCTAACAACTAAAAATAAATTTTGAAATATTATTATGACGTGGGTGTAAAAGGTTTACTTTATAACGACAACTATTGGCCTTCGCTCCAATTTGTCAATATGGAATTAACGGTCGGAGGATGTTTGGTAAAGAAATTTATTCTCTTATTTAAATTATGATTTATGATTTGTTATAATATTTTTTCTCATAAAAAATTTACGTAAATTAAAAATGATTCGCATCACATAATTTGAATGCTCCAACCAAACGTCATCTTAGATTCAACAAAGAAAACAAGTATTCAATGTTTCGTTTTACCAGTTTGGAGTCTTTCTTTTTTTAGCCAATTTGAAGTTAAACAAATGGAAAAACATTATTTAAGAAGGCACCAACTTGCTGGTTAGAATTACATCAACCATACACCCAAAAATAATAATAATTACAATAATTATAATAATAAAAGAGCGTGACAATCCAAATATTTTTTATTTGTCCATGTTAACCATTTATCTAAGTTGATATTAGAATCTAAAGTACGTCGGTTCTACATTTAATAAAATAAAAAAATATAGAGCCTCTTGTATTATTAATTGTGGTCACTATCTTCATACTGATTTTCCAATGTTTGTTTCTTTTAGCTTTCAAGTAGGACATATCACATTTAATCATATCACATCAGAGTGAGAATCTTCAACCTCTTGGGAAATAAAATTTGGCACACAAATAAGGATGGTGGGGCATATCAATATACCCATTCATCTCCAACTCTAGCATAAATTATTGACAGGTATATACTCTTTTACCAACAAATTCCATATTCTTTAAAGTCCTATTGTTCCTTAGTGAAATTTAAAGTTTGAATATACAATTAAGATAAGCATAGTTAGAGATATTCTTATGTGATTAACTCGATCACATAAATATAATAAAAAAAAAACTCAATCATGTAATACTTTTATAAAAAAGGAGAGCTTCTCTTGTTTGGAAATTAAGTTTCCTAATAATAATTGTGGACCATATATTTATAATAATTATATTTACGCTATTTAATTAATTAAACTAATTAAGTACTCTTATTATGGAGAGCCCAAATAGTCTCTTAATTGGGTATGGGTTAAATGAGTGGATACTCAATATTGACCTAATTAGGTTTAATGTGAGCCTAATGGGACAGTATATAATGAAACTTAAGTTATGGTCCCTAATATGTCAAATTATTCAGTTGTTTTCCATCTTTCCCATCTAGAGAGAGAACACCCCATACAAGAACTAGTGATTTGACTGAGGAAGACAATAACTCGACGCGCTCGTTGTCTTAGAGATTTCTACTAGAGATTAAGGCTGCACCAATTGAGACGGGTATTTGTTTTAACCTATTTTCTTAGTAATTTGGTGTGATGATTCTTGGAATGTCGAATAAGGATTAAAGACCAACAAATGGTATCTGAGCAGTTTTCACATTAAATTATTGAGAGAAATTCCATCTCTAATATCTCCAGTTGAATATTATGTTGATTGATTCATATGATTTTTCTTTTGTCTATGGAATTTTCGATATGCTTTATTTTGTTGAGAAAAGCATATATATTGATAATCATATGAATTTTTGGTGATAGATTTTGAACAAAATTTGTTTAATAATTTACGGATTAATTGTTATTCACAAAATTTGACTGTCTAGAAAATTAAGAATTAAGGAAATTTGGTAAAAAGGCTTTTTGGAATTTTTTTTTTTTAGAATAAATATTGTGGCCGGCGGCAGCCTTGGCCGATGGCGCTGAGGGAACTAGGGCGCGACCATTGGGCCACGTCGATGGGTGAGCCGCAGCCTGCTGGCCGCAGCGGCCAAGGCTGCCGCATAAGGAAAACTTAAAAAAAAATTCATGGCCAGCGGCATCATCTACCGCCGCCGGCACTGTGGACAAACGGACGTAGCCCTCTGGTCGAGCCGGTGATTTTATTTTATTTAATCATTATTGCAC